CCAAATATCTTAATTTCATATTACATAAAGCAAGTAGTGTCTGTGATTAAAATACTATAGGAAAATTTCAAATGTTTGTCTGAGTTATTTATATTGATTTCTTTGATGACCATAATATGTGTTGTAATCATACAGTGAATCATTGGGTTTTTTATGGGATGACACTAAATAAACTTCAGTCACTAAAGAATTTCTGAAATTTTCATTAATATAAATCCTCACTGTTACATGTATAGTTAAGAAAAACTAAAATTTTGCAATGATTTTTTAAATATAATATTTACTTTGTGATAATAAGTTATTATTCCACACCATATGATACCAACAATATTGATGTTGAAAAGAATTACTTGCAATATGAGCTATTGATTCAGTCTGTTATGTGTGTTCATCTTACATAATACATGTACATGTAATGATGCAGATTTTCTAAAATTTGTGAAATGAATTCTTGTTGCATTCCATAAATATATTGTTTTCCTTTCGAAAATATATTAAGAAGTTTTATAATTGAAATAAGAAATCTCATATCCCTAGACAATATGCTGCATAATGCATTATAATGAAAAGTCATATTATATACAGCTTTACTTATCTTGTTGTTTGACAAGATATGAAAAGTACATTGTATGCATGGGTAAAAAAGATACCTTCAAACAAAATGAAAGTTTATTCTAACAGTAACATCCATCAAAGGCGTGGCACCTGTTGAAGTCTCGATCCTCAGCTGTAAATATGACAATTAAAGCTGAACTTGGATTTTATGAGGGTAAAAATATGTTTGCTCCCTGTAACAGTAAACCAATGACAACTCAATCAATATATATGCAACTTTTACACAGTACTATAATCATGATAATTTAATTTTAACCTATTCCCGGGGTACATATAGAGGTAGCATCAGTAAGCCCTGTTAATGTGGGTAGCATATTTGACCTGTATGTACACAATAAATTAACCTCTTTTTATTATTTAGCTTTCATGAAAGTTGATTTTAATTGATTTAAAGTATATAATTTTAGCATATTTTATTGAGGGAGAATGTTTGTTAAATATGCTGTAAGATAAACATTCCATGTCTTGGGTTCTCCATATATCATATAAGCAAAATAAATAAATAAAAAAATAAACAAAGAATTTTAAGAGAAATCAGGAAAGAAATTTGAGTGCTAAAATATTGGTAATTTATATAGAAAATAGCATATTATATACTTAGGGTAATTCATTATACATAAACAATCTAATAAATGGATTTTATACACTATACATCTACAGCTGTTTAGTGTAGTGTTAAAAGCGAAAGTAGACTTGTTCTCTGCAATCAAAGGGAATTTAATGAAAAACTAGTGCTAATTGTAACGGGGACCGTTACAGATGTTCCCCAAACGCTCCCCGAATCCCTTTTTGTGCCTAATTCCTGTACGATATTTTACAAAATATGATCAGTATCGAAGAATTTCATCAAAGAATTATAAAAGGTATAATGATATCAACTATATGTCATTTAACGCATTGTACGCGCACGCACGTGCATGTACATGCAAGATGATCATAGCATGTTGTCTAAACAATTAGCATATCTATATATCGTGAGAATAAATAAAAAAATCTTTACAATATACATTTTAATGTTTTTTAAAAATATTGGCCCTTTTGCGTATTTCGCGCGCGCACTTGCATGAAAGAATGTTCGTGCATTCAATTTTGATAGTACCATTATGTAGGAATCTATGATACCTATTCATATTCTAAATTTTATCCCGTTTCGTTGAAAACTAAGAAAGTTATAGACAATTAAAATATCAGCCAATCAGATTGCAGCACACGTGCATGCGCATGCTTTTCATGATAATTCTTATATATCATGCTGTAGATCTTTATAATGTATAACCATGTTCAAAATTTCAAAGGATTTTGTCGAAAAACGAGAAAGATACTGAGACTTTAGTTTCAGCCAATCAGAGCGAAGCGCACGTGCATGCGCGTGAGATCTTACTATTTTGACCATGTCATCTAGTCTATGCTTCTGATATATCCTTATATTATAACTTTCAAAACATTTCATAAAAAAAATGAAATAGTTACGTTTATATCAATTATATTGGACATTTCTAGTGTTGCACGTGCGCGCTCTTGCAAGCACACGTGCATGCACATTCTTTCATGACAATTCTTTTATACCAGGCTTTAGATCTCCCTAATGTATGACTATATTCAAAATTTCAAATGATTTTATCAAAAAAAAAGAAAGATATCGAGACTTTAGTTTCAGCCAATCAGAGCGAAGCGCACGTGCATGCGCGTGAGATCTTGCAATTTTGACCATGTCATCTTGTCTATGCTACTAATATATCCTTATATTATGAGTTTCAAAACATTTTATCTAAAATTTAAAAAGTTACGGCAATATTCATTATATTGGTCATTTCACGCGTTGCACGTGCACGCTCTTGCAAGCACGTGCGCGCAAAATGACCTTCGTTCCGCAAATCTACATAACATGCCTACTGACCCTAAAAAGGTTTCACCTTAGTCAGATGTGTAGTTTACAAGATCATTCGCGGAAAAGATTTTCCCAGGAAGAAGAAAAATAATAATAACTAGTTCTAATTGTAACGGGGACCGTTACAGATGTTCCCCAAACGCTCCCCAACTCCCTTTTGGTGCCATATTCCCTGTAACAGCTTCATTAAATAGGACAAAATCTATGCATTCAAGACTTTAACAACGCCAAGTTCATTCAAATTTTAGCATTGCAAGCGTGCGCATGTGAATGTATGTGCGTTATGACCATATCATCTTATCTACACAATCTATATATTTTTATATGCTAAATATTAAAAGTATTTAATCCAAAAGTATTAAAAAATACACTCATTCAAGTGTATTTTTGATTTATCTCATTTCATGTGCACGCACGTGCATACATGAGCATGGTGACCATATCTTCTTCTAGAAGTTCTTTACATCTATCTATGTTCTAAATCCCACCCCGTTTGGTTGAAAACCAAGGGAAATATAGCTGTTTAAAGTTTTAGCCAATCAGATTACAGCGAACGTACACGCACGTGTATGCATGTGCATTGTGACCATACCGTCTTGTAGAAGTTCATTATATCTATCTATGTTCCAAATTCCATCCTGTTTGGTTGAAAACCAAAGGAGTTATAGCTATTTAAAATTTAAGCCAATCAGATTGCAGCACACGTGCATGCACGTGTTTTCATGATAATTGCTATATATCATATTGTAGGATATCTTAATGCATGGCTATGTTCAAAATTTCATAGGATTTCGTCGAAAAACAAGAAAGATATAGAGATTTTAGTTTCAGCCAATCAGAGCAAAGCGCACGTGCATGCGCGTGAGATCTTGCTTTTTTGATCATGTCATCTTGTCTACACTACTAATATATCCTTACATTATAAATTTCAAAAGATTTCATCAAAAAGTAGAAAAATTACGGTTATATTCATTATATTGGTCATATCACGTGTTGCACGTGCGCGCTCTTGCAAGCACGTGCGCGCAAAATGGCATGTTGACAATGTCGTCTTATCTACATTTATAATATGTTTATATATTCTAAATATCAAAGCATTACATCAAAAAATGTAAAAGTTACGGCAATTTCAAGTATATTGGTCATTTCACGTGTTGCACGTGCGCGCTCTTGCAAGCACGTGCGCGCAAAATGACCCTCGTTCCGCAAATCTACATAACATGCCTACTTATCCTAAAAAGGTTTCCCCTTAATCGGATGTGTACTTTACAAGATCATTCGCGGACAAAATTTTCCCAAGAAGAAAAATAATAATAACTAGAGCAAAGCTCGTTGCAAAGCAACGAGTAGGTCTTCCGTCCTGTTTTGACCGGAAGTGAAGTCAACAAAAAGAAAGCAATGAGCTAAGTTGTCTCCAGTGACTTTATAATTTCAATTTTGAGTCAAAACCTTCAAAATAAGCTTTTTTGGCTACTTTTGGTTTGACCAAAAGTGATGTGTATTGACAAAAAATTAAGTTTAATGCCTTCAGTGATATATGTTACCCAAAACCTTGTCAAGAATGACAAAAATATGCACTTTCTGATGACTTTCGGTTTGACCGGAAGCGACGTCACCAGACGCATTTTGACGAATTCAATAGATTACATTTTGAACAACTTTGCTTCTTTGACGTATTACAATTCAAATTTTTTTTCAGATATTAAGGAAAAAATTTTGGTCCCTCTAAGTCCTTAATTATAGGGGCAAGCCCTTTATGGTTGATATCCTTTGAAAGATCGTGATATTCTTCACAACTTTTGTTCTTAATGTCTTTACAAAATATTAACATGTAAAAAGATATTGCAGAAAAGGTGTGAACATTTTCTAAATCCCCGATGGGATTTTTTTACAAGCCATAGCGAGCGCCGACGTGCTGCACTTCCGGAGAAAGAGAGAGGTATGTGTCACATCAGCACATGTAGCTCTATCATCACTGAAAATATTATGCTTCTGTCTAAAAGCAATTTTGAGAAAAATGCTGGTCAATGTGACCCTATGAAAATCACTAAATCACAGAAATCTACACTAAAGAATGCTCTGTGCCAAGTTTAACTTAACTTTGTCCAGTTGTTCTGAGAAGGAAATGAAATTCTGAAGAATTTAAGATAAAGATGATAATGGGTGAATTTTCAAAATTTTACTACAGCTTTAGCTCATATAAGCTAAACTGTAAACAGATTTTGTGCTTTGTTGACTTTGAAATGTGACTGGACATCTCTTTGATCTTGTGTTTGAAATAACATGTCCTTTGTTCTGAATCATGCACATTTGTTAATGCTTTAGTTGTTTATGCCAAGATAGCAATGTTCCTTCAATTATACTGTAAAAATACACATATTAGATCTTATATATTGCCACTGAAGACAGACCTCTATCATCTTTACCATTAGAATTGGTATGTCTTCCCTTGGAAGCAGAAGACCTCAATACAGATGTAAACATGCAAGATCTGACAAATATTTAAAAGAACATTTATTCCAAATTAAACATATTAGATTTTGCAACAAAATCTATTTATCTTGAAAAACTGAAAGCAATTGATATAATCATATTTTTGGATTTATGTCTGTTTCTCAAATCAAAATTTAAATATGATATATTTAAAATCATCTTCTTAAACTGAGACTTGATTCAGTTGATTGTTTCAATTTCATTCTGCTGTTTATTCTTTGTCATCTCCCAAAAGAGGCTCTTCTGGCAAATCATGATCATGCTTGGCATCAAATTTCAGTACTCAGATGACAGTCACACCTATCAAAAGAAATTGATTTTTTAAAAAGTACAACTTATCAGATAAGATAAACCATCAAACTTAGTTATAAGATATTGTTCAGGGATTAATCTAGGTTTTTAGGGAAACTACCCTTTCTTGAGAAATTGGGAAAATCAGTCGGGGTCGAGGAACCACCTGAGTGAGTGCAGGGCAAGTCCTGCTTGGAGGCCAATTGAATTTCAGCATTTTTATGACCATTTAAAGGACATAAAGTAGTAAATTAAAACCATATTTCTCATATACTGAAAAATTTTACTTTAAATTTTCAGTCTTTATGAAGGAAAAAAATATTTGATGTTTTTATTATTCTAAGGGGAATATTTTACTCATCAAACGGGGAAAATCATAACTTTTGGGGAAATTTTCTCTAGGGGAAAAACACCGAATATCGGTAGTTAATATGCCCTAGATTAATCCCTGTTGTTATACCTTTAAAAAATAATTGTTCCTATACAAATCTATACAGAAAAAAGTCTAACATTTTTAATGTTTTGCTGAGCGGGCATAAAAAAATCAATGTTGGACCGCTCGGAGAGATGTTGGACTGCTTACATCACAGAATGGGCGGAGCTTAATCTCATTTTCATTCTTTGGTTTTAAACAATGACAGATCTAATGTTACATTACAGAATATAGTACAAAATACATGTATGTCAAAAAATATATAATAAAATGAAAGGTATAACAAAACATTTATTGACAGAGTTCTCGGGCAAAATGCGTTTTGTCGGACTCTCGAACCAAACTGTCTGCCTGCCTAACGGCCTCGGGCAGACAGTTTGGTTCTTTGGTCCGACAAAACGCATGTTGCCCTCGAACTCAGTCAATAAATGTATACTGTCACGTTTCTGCATGTGTATTATTTGTAAAACTATATAACTCTATAATCATTTATAAATTTAGGTTTACAGGCAGTCATTTGAGGATGTTATAAATAACATATTAGTTTTTCATGATTTCAAATAAAGGGTATGTACATAACTTGTTCATGTCAAAATTTATTAGGAATGGTAATGGTTAACAGTTGTTAACCATCTAATCAGTCAGAAAGATGGTATCTGGTTATGATTTTTTATGTGTCAGGATAAGGCCATTCATAAAGGTGTTACAGCACATTAGGAACAATGCACTAATGAAGTGACAAAACAGCATCGCATAAGAAACAATGAGCTAGCGCAAAGTAACAATGCTGCTCTAGCTCATTTAAAACACCATGCTACTAAGTTTATGACAGCATGCTAATTGTTTAAGACACTTGCATGCTAGCGTGAAGTAAAAATGTGCTATCACGCTTATGAGAATGGGCTAGTGTGCTTATGACAACACAGTGACAATGTACTTAGTGCGTTTGTAACAAAGTTTCAGCAGGCTGTTTACACTACGCCATCAAGCTTACACATATAAACAGATTGTGTAAAGTTGTATTAGGCCATTCCAAGTTTTTTCTCTGTTTAGCGTCCACCCATCTTTCAAAAACCTACCAATCTATTCGCAAAAAAAACAACAACACAGAAGCCAAAACATAAAACACAGAATTAAAATGATTTTCAATGATTTGATCTAACTAAACTACTTTAATAGAAGAAATGTCTATTCTTAAGCAAAAACAAGGGAATAAATGCTTACAATACACCAAATATAACTTACTGTACAGAATTATTTGGAGAAATTGACAAATTCAACAATTTTGCCTAAATTAATCAATTTCAGGACTCCTGATGTTGTGTGTTTTTTCTAACATGGGGTGTCAAAAACCAAGGCGCACACAGACGCTAAACATAGAAAAAACTTGGAATGGCCTTAGCATGGCAGCATGTTGAGCATCAGCACAACTGCATGTTGTTCTAAGTTGCCTTAGCCTAACAGTGTTGAGAACACTGTGTTAGCACATTGTTTCTAACACACACTTTAACAAATTGCCTTATCAGGACACCATTTAGTTTTCCATATATATTTTAAAAAGACTGGGAATAAAATTCAATTTTCGATAAGCTTCTTTTCATTATAAGTGTTTGCCTAAGCGTTTTTTTTACTATATAACCCAAATACATCATTGTCTGTTATGGTAGCCTAGTGGTAGAGCAATCGCTATGTATAATCATGAAGCTGGGCTTGATTTTAATTCACTGCATCAAACCTAAGACAAAAACATGTACGCAGTTATGTTCCCTAACCATGCACCCAACATTTGTAGTGAATTAGACTCTAAAAACCTCACAGTAGATGTTAGGATAATGACCCTGAGTTCCAAGTAAAGGTCCATATTGAAGCTATTCACCAGTATATATTAAATGAGTGAATGAGTGAGATTCTCATGATAACATTATCAATCAAAGTATCAATAAGAAGCTGATACTTACTGCTAAATGCTAGAGACAGGTTACTCCAAAGAGACTGTATAAACCAAGATTCTGTGTCACAGTAGGTGTGGGTGTTGGCACGAAAAGGATCCCTTACTTCTCAAAGGCAATAAGTGCTGAGTACAAGTCTATATTTGCAGCTTACTATCCCAAGTGGTGGCATCATAAAATGACTGAAAAATTTTCAATAGACTAATAAACAAACAAACCATTTCTGCAGCCTTATCACAAAAAAAGCAAACTCTACTATACATTTTTTTTTTTTTTTTTTACAAATTTCTTTTGCAATTTAACTAAGAAACATACATATGACATAATAAAATATTGATTTAATTAACTGAGCAATATTATATTGTGTGCAATTTTTTTGTCAATAAATTATACTAAATTTTTTTCTGCAGTAACTCTGGACCCACAGTGCTTTGCTTCTTTGAGCTACATTCAAGCTTTAAAGTGGTATTGTAGGCCAAACTTACACTATGTCATGTGACTTTAGAGTCTAGTGCCCTGTTCAGACGGAGAGTTTAATTCGCAGTAAATTATTGCGAAGTAAACTAAATTAAATGCAAATCAAACTAATGTGAATCAAACTGTGTTCACATGACAGCTAATCATAATGCAAAGTAACCAAATCGAATAAAAATTTTACTTTGACAGTCATGCAGGCTTCAGTTAGGCTTTTATGACATCATTTACAAATCATGTCACCTTAGGCATAAACAGATGTATTTGACATAATGTCACAGTGTCTGTTTTCACATTTTAGTGATTAACACTATATTTTCCTTAGTTTTTCACTCAAAAATAGCACAAGTACTTAAAGCTGACCACCAACATGTAGCATTTGACTTAATTTTGCCATTTCACATGCCTCAAAATTTAATTGGAATTAGCTTACCCTAGTCATGTTAGTGTTCACAAGGAGCTAATGCAAAGTAATTTAATGCGCAGTAAATTAATTCGAATTAAAATAATTTGAATTGAACTCAGTCCATGTGAACATGCATCGATGCACCAAATGTCTAGTGCGGTTTGACAAGCCTGATCTAAATTAAAAGTGAATAAGTATCTGCCCTTACCATGCTTATCGTACCCTAACATCACACCCGTCAACATATTATTAGTTGAAAAACATTTTGTTTTGAACACGTTGAAAGCAAGTCTTGTTGAAATTACATGCTCACACATATTTAAATAAAATTTAAAGCTGTGGGGATTTTAAAAGGCTAACTGAGAGCGTCTGAACTGTAAAACAGTTAATATATCGCTGTGTCTGTGTATTTCTAAAAATAGCTGATAAATGCTCTAAGCTGCCATAGTAATATAATGTAAATTTTAGGTAAACAAAAATCTTACCTTCGAATTCATTCCCATGGTCCACGCCAATCATAAATTAAAATGTAACCGTCAGCTCTTTAATCATTCGATACAATTATCACTGGGGAATCCGAAACAGAGTCAAGAGTGTTCATCCTTGTTGATTACTGTGACAGTCGGAATTTCCTCGTAAACAATATTCACACAAGAATATATAAATCGGATAATTTTGCTTAGAATAATGCTCCAGAGGATTAATAAAGTACTTTGAGCTGCAGATAAAATGTCCGTGCATGTTTACATACGGCTTGTATGGTGAGAAAATCCTCAACTTCACTTTGTAAACATGATCAACATGTGTCCGATTTGCCGATTTCGATGGGACACACTGAAACCCGGATGTACTAAAGACCTGAAATTACCCGATGTTTTTATTTTAAATTAAATGATAATATTGAGTACTTAAAATGTCTTATTTTAAAGACCTTTGACTATGATGCATTATGTTTTACAAGAATTCATTTGTTTGGAATATTACTGACAATTTTTAATCAGGTCAAATCAGGATTTTAGCATATCAAGTCTTTAGTACCTTCCCGTTTCCCACAATGCCGCGCGTTGTTTACACCTATACAAATGCAGAAAAAACCCATTTTGATTTCACCTTTTGTTGTGTACATACATCACATTTTAAATTACTTGCATAAAAAGAAAACAGAGAAACACCGAATCAACACTTTATCTTACTGATGCATCAACTAAAACCAGGGACCTATGTTAGTATATAGGTCCCTGCTAAAACTGTGCGTTAGTGGCACAGTAAAGGCTTGACTGGCTACAGTAGCTAGACAACTTGTCCATGTAAGGTTTCCCACATATTTGTTTTATAAAAAACAAATATAGTTTGGAGTTTGTTTATCTTTATACCAAATGACAGGGTTTTTCATCAATTCGAAATGATTTCAGATAAAATTTTTCATAGTATAACTGTTACCATTAAAAAATTAATATTTTTAGCACTCAGAAAAAAAAACGTTTATGATCTATTTACCCCTGGCCTAATTATAGGGGCCAGCCCCTTTTCCTTAATCTTATATGAAAGCTCTCATAATTACGCACAACTTTTGTTGTATATTTCTTGCCAAACTATTCTCGGTGCAAAAGTAATTACGCGTTTTGACCGGAAGTGACGTCATTTGACGACTTTTGACAATTCCGGCATTATTTCCGGCTGACATCACAGTCAGCAAGTCAGAAAAAATTGAAAAACTCAAATTCAATCGTTTTATTTGATTTATTTTTATTAAAAGGAAAGACTTTGAATTTTCGACTACTTCCGGTTTTTACCGGAAGTACTTCTGATGGATGCTTTTTGTTGAGGATTGTGAATAAAAATATATGTTCTATTTGCCTTTAATCAATCCCGTTAATTTTTTCAAAAAATCTTAAAATTAAACATCCCTTCCTGTGTCGACCGGAAGTGACGAATGCGAAATTAAAAGACGTCATGCATAACTCAATAAGATGTTTTATAATCCCTGAAAATATCATGATTCAATCTTGAGTGGTTTACAAGAAGATGCTTGGACAAAATGACAACTTAAAAAAAGAAAATCGGACAAAAAATGCGACCGGAAGTGATTTTCAAAAAAATGAAAAAAAGGTCTGGAGATATTACAACAATGCATCATTCCTGAAAAAATCTTTGAAATCAGTTCAGTAGTTTCGGAGAAATCACGTGTACTATGAAAAGGGAAAAATAATAATAATAGGAAACATAAGAAAAACAGTAAGGTCTTCCGAAGGAAGTCGGAAGACCTTAATAAGAAACAGAGTAAAAACAATATGTTCCCCAACTTCGTTTGGGGAACATAATAAGAAACAGAGTAAAAACAATATGTTCCCCAACTTCGTTTGGGGAACATAATTACCATTTTCTAACACCAATAGAAAGTCGGTATTGCTTTCCTAAATGTTATCCCTCTTCCTGTTTAGCTCTTTATGTCGACTGATATGGTCAAATCAGTTTATTAATCAATTTTAGCCCGTAAAACATTATATAGTTTTTACATGTAGGCTGCATGCCGTCTATAATGTAGGTCACTGTATTTCTGTTGTCTATAGCCAATACGGACGCGTGTGAACAATGCATTTTGGCATACTCTATCATAAAACTTAATATACATCTTCAATGAACGTCTATACAGCAGTAGATAACAAAAACAACATTTAAAAACTAACCTTTCTGAACCATGGATGGTTCTACAGCCCGCTATATGAGAAATGAGTGCTTCCATATAAAGATGCACTGTTTTATATTCGGAGTATTCCCTCACTTATCGATAAAACTCGCTGAAATATTACTGAATAATGTGTATTTCTCATATTTGTATTAAAAACACGTTTATTTCATTTCTTTCTATTTAATTTTATTTTTTGAATTTTTTCTTTGGAAAGAACGACTACTCCCTTCAAAAACTGGTTCCCGGCCCCGTAATCTAGACGCTAATGGACGAGTTTACCATGTTAAATCCCCGTAGACGTTGCCGCCGTGTGTTTACACCGGTTGACCTCGAGGGTTCGTATAAATGCAGAAAGTTTGGAAAAAAAATCAATCTACCAATCGGACACAGGTTGAAAGCCAAATTATTTATTTATTTTGAAATATTTTGCAAAAAGTAGTGACGTTCCGGTCGTGGGACAGACTATAGTGTAGTTCATGCAGTGATTAACACAATGGGTTTTCGTAAGAAATAAAGGAGAAAAAATATTCAGTGGATGTAAATATATAGATATTAAAAGCCAAGGCTAAAGGTAATTTCATTTAATTATCAGACAACCTGCCTTATTAACTACGTTAAATATAGGGCTGGGACGATATATCGAGATATCGTGATACGTGTTAGGACGATACGCATATCGATACATATGAAGAAATATCGGAATATCGCCCCAAAAAATCTTATTTCTGTTTTTCTTTGTTTATTTAACATTTGGGGTTTAATATATAAAATAAATAAGCTAAATATAAATATAGATATGAAATAAACAATAATTAACACCACTTGAGTAAACTATTTTTGTTTCACAATATATAAACAATTATTTTGAATAAATTATTCTTATTTGCAAAGAAATAATTTGTTTATTTCAATGCAAAAAAAAGAATTTATCAGCAATCAAACATATCGTTATACATATCGTATCGTGGATCAAATATCGTGATATGTATCGATATAGAAAAAGTTGTATCGTCCCAGCCCTAGTTAAATATTTATCTCCTGACTGTATCAACACGTTTGTTTCAATATTAAAAATAATGAAAAATACTTATTTTTCAGCTGTATTTGTTTTGTTCATTTCGATTAAAGTCATCATTATTTACATACAGATTTGACGACGGATTTTTCAGTTTTTACTTCCCGATCATGACAAGGAGCACACGGCGGGTGTGACCGGTCGGCAGGGGTGCTCACTTCTAAATGGCACCTGATCCCACCGCTGATGTTTTGGAGGTCCGTGATTGCGTTGCTCCAATTCTGTATTGTTCTATGGACTTTTGAACTTGAATTCTGTTTGTTATCTGCATCTATTTCATTTCATCATAATAAATATCCTTCATTAAATTTTTAAATCTTCAAAATACAGTATCGTGTTTCTTCTTTGAGCACAAAAATTAGCCACATTGAAAATAAGTGATTTTAAAGTACCAACAAACAATTGAAAAAGTTATAATAATGCAATTTTATTTACATTAACTTCGGATACAGCGTATCAAAAATTATTATAGCTTTTAGACAGAAGGATCGTTGAAATACTAAGAAGCACTTGCAAATAAATCATAGTAGTTTCCACTGTATTCTAGATATCGGTGGGACAAATCCAAAGTTCTTCTTGCAGGAGCACTGCGTTTTCCCCTTTTCAGGGTATTACGACGCAGAAGAGATCAGTCGTGCCAAAAAAAATACGGATATCTTAATGTAAAACTTGGATCCCCCATTGTGGCTCCACCCTATCCCTGGGGGTTATGAATTGAATAAACTAGAATCTACAGTACATGAGGATGCTTCCATATAAATATCACTATTCATGGCTTTGCAGTACTTGAGAAGAAATTTTTGTTTATAGATTTCCCTATATATTCCTATGTAAATTTTTGATCGGCCATTGTGGCCCCACCCTACATCCAGGGGTCATGATTAGAACAAACTTGAATGTACACTACTTGAGGATGATTCAACATGAGTTTCATCTCTCCTGTCCCTATGGATTTTGAGAAGATTTAAAAGATTTTCCCTACATATTCCTATGTAAAACTTTGAACAGCCATTGTTGCCTTACCCTACCCCCGGGGGATCATGATTTGAACAAACTTGAATGCACACTGTATGAGGATGATTCAACATGAGTTTCATTTTTCCTGTCTCAATGGTTCTTGCGAAGATTTTTCAAGATTTTCCCTACATATTGAGTATTCATATCTAAAAATTTGATCGCCTTGTAAACCTTTGATCGGCCATTGTGGTCCCACCCTACCTCCGGGGGCCATGATTTGAACAAACTTAAATTTACCCAATCTGAGGATGATTCAACATGAGTTTCATCTTTCCTGTCCCTCTGGATCTTGAGAAAAAGATTTTTAAAGATTTTTCCTATACATTCCTATGTAAAACTTTGATCGGCCATCGTGGCCCCACCCTTGCCCCGGGGGTCATGATTTGAACAAACTTAGATCTACACTTCCTGAGGATCATTTCACACGAGTTTCAACTTTCCTGTCCCTATGGATCTTGAGAAGATTTTTTAAAGATTTTTCCTATACATTCCTATGTAAACCTTTGATCGACAATGGTGGCCCGACCCTTGCCCCGGGGGTCATGATTTGAACAAACTCGGCCATTGTGGTCCCACCCTTGCTCCGGGCGTCATGATTTGAACAAACTCAAATCTACACGTCCTAAGGATAATTCCACATGAGTTTCATGGATCTTGAGAAAAAGATTTTTAAAGATTTTTCCTATATATTCCTATGTAAAACTTTGTTCGGCTGTTGTGCCCCCACCCTTGCCCCGGGGGCATGATTTGAACAAACTTAAATCTACACTTCCTGAGGATCATTCCACATGAGTGTCATCTTTCCTGGCCCTCGATACAAAGTATCTAAAATTTGCCTTCAAATCA